CTTTCGTGGACTACAGCCCACTTCTTCGGATGCATCCGAAGAAGTGGGCTGTAGTCCACGAAAGCATATGCTCTAATAAATTTGTTAGTCTCTAAGGTGCCACAAGTACTCCTGTTCTTTTTGCGGATACAGACTAACACGGCTGCTACTCTGAAACTGGAAGTCTTGTGAACAAAGATTCAAAACTCAGAGCAAAGGAAGGCCACTTAAACTCTCCTTAGTTATGAGACAGAGGGCCAGATTCTCAGCTGGTCTAAATCAATAGCGCTGAATCAGGTCCTGAATGTTTGAAAAATGTTTCTTTACTTTGTTTTTGGTCATATAAGTTACAGATGTAAGACTGGTTGGCAGATCTAGTACATTTCCCTGTAATTACAGAGTGGTTCCCTATGATACGCTTTTCTAGTGTTTGGTCTAACCTATATTAACTGTGCCAAACAAAGGGATTTCTTCATGATAGAGACTGTATCTTAGCCTGATGCAACACACAAAGTTCACTCTACTTGTAGAATAAGTCTACACTATAAAAAGAAATCAGCTGATATCTTTAATTCAGGTTAGCTAACTCATTAGCTAACTGAGGTTTAAATAGCAGTGAAGACAATTCTGCTTTTAACTCAAATTAGTGGATTGAATTCAACCCCTAGCTGCCCTAGAAGCTTGAATGTGAGCTGTGAATCCTGATTAAAGTTCGAGTTGCCATGTCATTACATTATTTTAACCTGAGTTAGTTAATGCGGGAAACTAACCTGAGTTACAAATACCTTTTTGTCGCCCCAGTGTATATGCCCTTAGAGAGACTATTGGTTCCAGAATATATACAATGGAGACTATTAATAATAATTCTTCAATAATATTTCTAGAAGCAAAATGAAGTAGTATGAGCACACATACCAACATCTCACTGTGAGAAAATTCTTCCTGATATCCACTTTAAGTCTTCCTTAATGTTGTCTCATATTTCCTAGTTATATCCCCCATGCTCATATCCCACAATAAAACATTCCTCTACATTCTTGTGTTTATACCATATCTGTAGGCTAGTATCTTTCCCTTAGTCACTGCTTAACCAAAAGTACATATATAGCCTTAAATGTCACTTCCTTCTGCTCTGATAACATACTGCTCTTGATTCGGTTAGGCTGCTCTCTCCTTTTCTGGACTATATCCTTCACTACAGTCTACCAGTGCTCAGCTTTGTATGTGTAGGGATGTTTATGGATCTTGAGAGGACTTCTCAAGATACTTGAAAGCAGAAAACGTTAGGGCTGGAGGATAGACCTTGCTGAATGGCTTCTTCTGTCTTCTCGCTTAAATACCAGTGGAACTTGTGAACCTAAATCTCGTTGGTGTGTTTGAGACCCTCCACCCCTTGACATATTTACTCTTTTCCTACATTTTTTTCAATAGAAACTTCCAAAGTCCACGTATGTTGTACATTTCCTTCAATTATAGCTGTCCTCAGATAGAAGTCATTACAGCCATCTCTGTTTGGAACCTTTCGGCTATATTAATATGCATAATAGAAGAACAACAAGCTAGAGAGGATCAACTGAAGAGAAGTGAAAGAGCTGTTCTTCACATAGGTCATCTCCCTACCTCTTGGGAGGTTGATTGTTTGTAAGTCCCAGTTGCCATAGTGACAACACAGACTTCCAAGGACTTTGTTAGTAATAAAATAATCAAGAATATATTTGAAGCAGTTCTGATGCCATATTCAGGATGTCTTCGAGCTCAATTTCACATTCTTTTGTCTTAGTGATTTTAGGCAGCCATCTTGCAGTGAGCCATTATTTACATCAAGGCTTTTGAAAGACAAAATTTCCGATCCCACATCTGCCTTTCACACACATGCACATACACTGTTTCTGTATCATCTCTCTCTGTGTGTGAGAGAGTTATGTTTGTATCCGTATATAATTAGTATGTGTTAGAATTAACACACAATATTCCAAATAGCCCTTTGTGAACAAATTATTCAACTGTGTGAGTGTACACTCAAGTAACGTACTGCCAGACAGAAGATAGTGAATACAGAAATAAAAAAAGAGGAAAAGACTACTTAAGACTTTGGAAAAAGACTTTATTATTTGTAGGTGGAGAGTGGAAAGTTTTTTAGCAAGTGGGAACTATTTCCATAACATAAAATCATAAGGGTATAAGCCATACTGTAAGTACCTGGCAGCAGAATAATCTTGTAAATTAAACAAAATATTCAAATGTATTTGATAGCTACACAGTTCAACAAATTGTTGCTACATGTGTTCATAATTTATTTACTTTATTTTACATACTTGGCAAACTTTATAAGGATGTTGCACAATTGGTTATATCTGGAGATCTGTCTGCTTTGTACATAGAGAGGATAAGAATTTTGGCAGTTAAAGTAGACCTAAGAAGCCACTGTTTTCTTTTCACAACCATTGAAGCCAGCTAGTTGAGTTCTATCTCCAAAATAGCTGTTGCAGAGACTGGCTAAAGATGCTGAGGAAGACTATATGACTCTCTGTACAAACTGCATCCCAGAAAGAGCATATTTGTAAGTAAAGACCTTCTGTTAAGGCACCTGAAACAGCTATCTGTTAAAAAGATAACTAAGCTTCCTGAAGAGTTGTAGGAATCCAGTGAGATTTTTGTTCCCAAACTCAATGTCATGGAGGGTTTATGCACATTAATTTCTTTCCTCATGTCTTGTTCCAGGACATTTTAAGTTAAATGTTTGAGTATATTTCTGTGTAATAAGGAGCTAATATATATTTAGTCTATGTTAGAATCAGAGAAATGTAGGACTGGAAAGGTCCTCAATAGATCCAGTCCCTTGGGCCCACTCAACAAGAAATTTCACAGTGTATCCTTCCAACTTGCCCCCCATTTGGAGGAATATAGTTCATTCTAGTCTGAGCTAATGATGTTCCACACAAATTGAGCATCTTTTTTATTATTTAAAATCAAGTATATCAGAAATAAGAGACATGAAAGTGAGGTGGTACAAAGAATTATTAACACAAAATGCTGGGGGATTCATTCCTGCAAAATTTCATGCATGAATCATTTTGTGTGGCTCTCAGTTTTGGTCTTTGTTCACACATTGATTCACTACAGTGTGTGGCCGGTTGAAAGGTATGTTTTTGGAGGGCAAATCTCAAACGTCCTTATTTCTTCTCTGATGTATTTTTTTAAGGTGAAAATACTTCCAGATCTTATGTCCTAGGTAATTCAACTTTATTTGGGATTTGTGGGAAGTTTTAAACATAATATATACTAATAAGGCTTTTGTGTGTTTTTATTTCCTTGTCCTTCTCCTTTAGACAATACAAAACATACAGTGAACGTTGGCGTATACCACTACACAAACCAGAACAGATACATCCCAAAGTTTCTAGGACTTTATTTCCAGAATGCCTGACCATTGAATATTACTTTGATGTCAAATGGTCAGAATGTCTGACCATTTGAATGTCACTTTGACCCCTTTATTTTGCCCAGATCTGAAGAAGAGCTCTGTGTAAGCCCAAAAGCTAGTCTCTCTCACTAATAGAAATTAGTTCAATAAAAGATATTACCTCACCCACCTTGTCACTTTGACCGTAGACATATGTGATGGGAATTCTGTCAGTAGACTTGTTGATGATGATTACCAGTCATATTTGTTTTAGGGGTGGAGTTTGTCATCCTATAATTGCTGTTGTGAATCTGTATGAATTCTGACCTTCCTTGCCCTCAGACTGCTCCACAACTCTTTGGCTGCTGTGCAAGATTCCATGTGGGCATCTGCAACATGTAACTCTATACTCAATAAATTGGCTCTTTTGCTGAGACAACATAGACAGCATTCCTCAGCTTCTCTGTCCCAGAAGACCACAGATATTTTGTGCTGGATTGGCCCAAAATTTCTGATGTTTTGGATGTAATATAATGCTTAATGTTTCAAGTCTAAGATTAAACATAATAAAAAGTGGGATGAGTTGCTATTTTCTCAAGAGTTATTTAGGCCGGTAGGTACCATGTGACTCCATGAAAATATTATTAATATTATTAATAGTCACAAAAAAGACTGTGTGAAACTATTTTTTTTTTCACGCTACAGTCACCAAACATCTTTTTGTGTTTGTTGAGGTTTCTGCAAAATTTACAACAGGACTTTTCAAGTATTACCAGCTGAAATAACAAAGCTATTTCTGCTGTGCTGGATGAAATGCAAAGTAAAGGAAATGGGGGAGACAAAAGAGAACTTTTTCAGAAGATTTTTATCAAACCAGTAAATGTCTGAAATATTTTACTCAGTTGACTTCTTAGCATTTAATGCTTGCTGGAAAGAAAAGCTCAATTGGCTGTTTTGTGGGAAAATAGCTAGTGCTTATTTAAAATTGAGGCCATGTTTTTCATTTCATACAATGTATATTATGTAGATACAAGTCTCCAGTGTGCTTTTTCTGTTTACAGTGTATCATAAAATTATACTTTTTGCTGTCATGTGAGCCCCCAGAAGTTTTTTTCCCCCCGGGTCCACTGGAAGCTTTGTATAATGCACTGTTGATAGTGTATTATTTTGATACTTCAGAGAACTGACTCATCTGAATGACATGATCTTGAAGTCCTTTATATGAGGAATTATGCACTATTTCTAAAGATGCAAATCTTGTAGATTTTGCACCAGGCTACATTAAAATCTTCATGCCAGTTCCTAGGAATTGGTGTTATAAAAGCAATGAAAACTCAAGATTTTGTTCCTTATCATATTGGCAACGATATTGCCAGAATAATGGGCCAGATGTTCTCAGCTAGTGGAAATTGATGTAGCTCTGTGGATTTCAAAGAAACTATTCCGATTTATGCCAATTGAGAAGCTGGCCCTGGATTTTTAGGGAATTGTCTATATTTGCCTTAATGATTTAAGTCTCAACATCTCAGGAAGTCATTGTCATATCTCTGCAGTGAGTCACAAACCACACATTTTAGCTGTGCTTTCTTCCTGAAACTATTCAAGAACTACATGTTCACATTTTAAACACCATAGGAGTAGAGGAGCAACATGCATAGGAGAATGGACATGATAGTGTTTCCAATGTTGGAAAATTTACAGTAGCAAAGAAAGAAGCACATGATAATGATAAAATGTGGTATTTGGTAACTAACAATGCATATTTCTATTTATTTTTTTAAATTGTCTCTTCTTTAAAATAAAAACTACCATTTTCCTCCAAAAGAGAGATCTATATCCATAGGGCCTAACTGATCAAATTTATACTGGTTCAATTGTTGGATTTAATCCCATGCAGGTGGTGTTAGG